AGTTCTTTATGATTGACTATCGAATCTTGTAAAATACACTGAGGTTTCTGTTAACCTGCTAACTTGGTTTACACTTATAATTAAAATGATAAAACTAAACATTCAGTGGATTTCTCCACCGTTCCAAATTTGCAGTGTTTCCCTTCAGAGTTCAAGTGATATTTCCTTGTTTCTTTTTTCATTTCAACAGTTGGACAAAAACTGGGGGAAGTAAAGTACATTGTTCAGTCTTAGCACAGTTTTTTATATGCCGTTCAGTTAGGCTGGATATTAACATTTTTCTGCTTGTATATGTTTGGAATATCAATAAAACTGTGTTATAAGTAGCACTGTTAACTCTAACAGCCATCACATTTTTCTTCTTAATAATAATAATAATATAGTTTTGTCAAGTAGTTTAGTCACTTAAAATAAATAACCCAGTTGTAAGGGTGGAATTTAAATATTGAGGATTCAAAGTGGAAACGCACTCAGTATTGCAGGTAGATTCTAAAACATATTTCATATTTTGAGATGAATTGCTTTGAACACTTAACTGTTATACCATGATTATTACAGTATGGGGTTGGGTTAAAAGACAAAACAAACAAACAAACAAACAAAAACATGTAAATGCTGTGACTTAAAACATACTCGTGGTGTCAGTGTTCACCAATGAACGACACGGCACGAACATTCTCCTCCCTCCTTTTTTCAGTTGTTCTTGTCACATTTTATGAGTGTGGTTTACACTTCGTTCAGAGAAATTCTGATTAGAACTTTTTCACTGCAAGTCAGGGCATTTATTTAAATATAAGATGCTTACTAGCAGGTGCACATTTTTGCGGACATTTCTGTTATTTTCCTTCACCTTTCCTCTGATAAAAACGGACGTGAGTTATTCTATTCCAGAAGAGATGAAACGTGGATCCGTGATCGGAAATATCGCGAAGGATATTGGACTGGATTTGGGCAGATTTTCGGCTCGCAGGGCGCGCGTGGACTCCGAGGACAACGGAGTCCAGTACTGCAGCGTGAACCTGAACACGGGAGAGCTGGTTGTTCAGGAGAGGATTGACAGAGAGGGCCTTTGTGCGAAGAAGACTTCATGTATTCTGAAACAGGAGCTCGTGCTGGAAAACCCTTTGGAGCTGCATCGCTTTAATATCCGCGTACAGGACATAAACGACAACGCACCACAGTTTAAAGAGAAATCGTTTAGGTTTGAAATTCAGAGAATCCACTGTTAAGGGTGCCCGGTTTTCTCTCGGTGAAGCGCATGACGGAGACATTGGAGAAAACGCAGTTCAGGGCTACACCCTTCAGCAAAATGATAATTTCAAACTGGATGTACAATCAAACTCTGCAGGACGAAAATATTGTGAGTTGATTTTGGACAAAGAATTAGACAGAGAGAGTAATAATAACGAGATCACACTTGTGTTGACTGCGTTTGATGGCGGCTCTCCTCAGAGATCAGGCACAGTAGTCATCCATGTCACTGTTCTTGACGCTAATGATAATGCGCCAGTGTTTAGTCAGACTGTGTATAAAGCGAGTCTTCCAGAAAACTCTCCTCCAGATACACTGGTTATTACAGTCACTGCTACTGATGCGGACGAGGGTTTGAATAGTGACGTAACTTATGAATTTTACCAAAGATCAGACGAAAATAATAATGTGTTTTTTATTAATTCAAAAACCGGACAAGTAGTTGTGTCAGGTGCAACTGATCATGAAAAAGCATCTTCTTATGAAATGCAAATCAGTGCTAAAGACGGATTGGGGCTTGTCTCATATGCAACATTATTAATTGAAATCACTGATGTAAACGACAATGCTCCAGTCATTAACTTAAGTCACTGTCCAATCAGATCCCTGAGAATGTGTCTCCTGGTACAGAGGTGGGCATCATTAATGTACAGGACAGAGACTCAGAGAACAACAGACAGGTCCGCTGCTCCCTTCAGACTGGGGTCCCTTTCAAGTTAGTACCTTCCATTAAAAACTATTATTCTCTAGTGACCACAGAACAGCTGGACCGTGAGCTAGTGTCTGATTACAACATTACAATCAGTGCCACTGACGAGGGCTCTCCCCCTCTGTCCTCCTCTAAAACTGTCCACTTAACTGTAGCTGACATCAATGACAACCCTCCTGTGTTTGAGGAGCAGTCCTACAGCGCACATGTGACTGAAAACAACAAACCTGGCTCCACTTTATGTTCTGTTGCTGCTCGAGACCCAGACTGGAGACAAAACGGGACAGTGGTTTATTCTCTGTTACCTGGTGAGGTGAATGGGGCCCCAGTGTCCTCCTATGTCTCTGTTAATGGAGACACAGGGGTGATCCATGCTGTGAGGGCTTTTGATTATGAACACTTCAGGAGTTTTAAAGTCCATGTGATGGCCAGAGACAATGGCTCTCCTCCACTCAGCAGCAACGTGACAGTCACTGTGTTTATATCTGATGTGAACGACAACTCTCCTCAAAAATACTGTACCCCACCCCGGAGGGGAACTCCTTCATGACTGAACTGGTCCCTAAAGCTGCACATGCAGGCTCTCTGGTGTCCAAAGTGATAGCAGTGGACGCAGACTCTGGACAGAACGCCTGGCTGTCCTATCACATCGTCAAATCCACTGATCCTGGACTTTTTACTATTGGTCTCCACAGCGGAGAGATCAGGAGCCAGCGGGACATCTCTGAGTCTGACAGCATGAAACAGAACCTTATTGTGGCAGTGAAGGATAACGGACAGCCTCCTCTCTCTGCCACCTGCTCCATGTATTTACTGATCTCTGATAACTTGGCTGAAGTGCCTGAACTCAAGGACATTTCTTATGATGAGAGGGACTCCAAGCTGACATCCTATCTGATCATTGCACTGGTGTCAGTGTCCACATTTTTCCTCACCTTCATTATTATTGTCCTGGGTGTGAGGTTCTGTCGCAGGAGGAAGCCCAGACTGTTGTTTGATGGAGCAGTTGCAATCCCCAGTGGTTATCTGCCTCCTAATTATGCAGATGTTGACGGCACAGGAACTTTACGCAGCACTTACAACTATGATGGATACATGACAACTGGATCCAGGACAAGTGACTTTAAGTTTGTCTCGTCCTACAATGACAACACACTGCCTGCAGATCAGACACTGAGGAAAAGCCCCACTGACTTCTCTGATGTCTTTGGAGATTGTGATGTTTCTCCTGAGGTAGGCACACTATGTTAAAAAAAAAAAAAACATATTTCCAAGATTTCCCCTCATGTTTTAGGTTAAATGTGATTGCTGCTTTTTTCATGTTTAAAGTTCATACAATCTATGCTTCTAATATTACAATTTTGACCCCTAATTTGTTGTCTTGCTTTCTTAGTTTTATATTCAGGCAGACCAGTATCAATACTCAGGAGATGCTCTTTAAAATTACAAAGTATTTCTGCACAATAACGTTTTAGATCAAAAAATTTTCAATAAATTTAAATTTTAGAAATTAGTAAGTCATCTATAATGTGTCTTAAACAATGATTTTACTAAAAAAGTTAAGTAGCAAATTTAAATGTATTAAGTCCATGTGCATAAGTATTATGTACAAGGAAAGAGCTGTGAGGGAACTGTTTGCAGCATTACTTTGAATTGTATTTTTAATTATATTTCTAGAGCTTTGCGTGCTCTCTTTGATAAGTCTGTGTATATTTGTGATTTAAATTCTGCCATGATTACATTTCAAGACAAATTTGAATGAATCACTAAATGAATGATTTTTTTTTTTAACCCTGTAGAATTCACTTTGACATTACCCGATGTTTGCATAAATTGCCTTTTCGGTATTTAAAGTAAGCCTATGAATTTAGGAAGCATCATTTTTACTGGTGTGAGTTTTTTTTTTTTTTTTTTTTGGTCGTTAAACTGTTGGTAGAGCACAAATTTTTTAGTTCCATATATCTATAGAAGACTAAAGATTCCTTCCCAAACTTTGTAAAAACTTCCTCTGTCCATGGTACTGAGTTTTGTGAGGTTAAATCTTCTTCATCTCCTTTATGTATGTGTGGTACAAACAAATTACATAGCAACATTCACATAATAAATGGAAATGAATATCCTGCCGGGCCATTCTAAGAACTATTTCATTGTTAATCAAAGTCTCTCTCTCTTTCTCTCTCCTTATTCATCATCTAGACCTTCTTTCTTTAATTAATTTAGAATTAGTAAAAAAAAAAAAAGTTTGATTGTCATTGTCATTTAACAAATTTCATAAACTAAATTCGTAAATATAAGTTTTGATGAAATAAAAATAA